TCCTACCAACACTTGAAAATGAAAGTGAAAGTCGCTCAGTCGTGTCCGACTCTTCGCGACCCCATGGACCATAGAGTCCGTGGAATTCTCCAGGCCAGAAGACTGGATTCATTTGCCCTTTCCTTCCCCATGGGATCTTCCCAACCCAGGGATCGAACCCAGGTCCCCCGCATTGCAGGCGGATTCTTTACTATCTGAACCACCAGGGAAGCCCAAGAATACTGGAGTGGGTAGCCTCTCCCTTCTCCAGGGGATCTTCCCAACCCAGGAATCAAACTGGGGTCTCCTGCATTGCAGGTGATTGTTTACCAACTCAGCTATCAGGGAAGCCCATTTGGAGTCAGATAATTGTTTGGTGTGTGAGAAGGTGGGAGAGGCTGTCCTGTCCATGGTGGGGTGTTTGGCAATATCCTGAGATGAAGGGATCACTCCGCTCCCATCAACTCAATCATATATGACAACCAAACATGTCTCTAGACTTTGCCAAGTGTCCCCGGGGCGGGGGAAAAGACTGCCCCCAGTAGAGAACCCTGGTCCTAAACCAAGAAAGAGATCTTCAGGAACTGCCCATGTTCACGAAGAAAACCAAAAGCAATGCTAAGAAAAACAACACTCTGATTTGGCGTTGAGTCAGAAGTAGTAACAGATGTCAGAAACGAAAGAAACCTGCCGTCACCTTCAGGCCATTTTACAACCAGAATCTACGGCCAATTTTAACAGCTTATTCTTGAATTTTAATTAATTGGAACTCAATGTCTGCTTGTACCTTCCCAGGTGGTGCCAAGCAGTAAAGAACCAGCCTGCCAACGCAGGAGACATAAGAAACATGGGTTCGATCCCTGGGTTGGGAAGATCTCCTGGAGGAGGGCATGGCAACCCACTCCAGTATTCTTGCCTGGAGAATCCCATGGACAGAGGAGCCTGGCGGGCCAGAGTCCACGGGTTCGCACACAGCTGGACACGTCGGAAGCAACTTAGCACAGCACAATGTCCATTTGCGTCAAGTTCTATCAAGAAGAGACTCACTAGACTCTCAATCCATCCGTTGCGGGCATGCCCCTGCCGACAGCAGGCGTTTTCGTGGCTTCGAGAAGAAAGGAGTGGTTTCTCGAGAGAAAGCGGTTTTTTTCTTGAAAACCTGGAGGGAGAGCATGTCTGTGGGGCTCTACCTCTGTGTTCTGGGGATTCAAGAAGGCAAAGGCTGTTTGGATGAAAAGAACACTGAACAAATCTCAAGCGAAGGTTGGAAGCAAGGGCTGAATCAAGCTGTCAAATAGCACCTCATCATGCACTTTTCATCAGCAGGAGACCTCAGAAAATGAAACTGCACTCCACCATTATCCAAGTGGATGTCATGTCTTCAAATCAACCAGTTATGGTTGCCAGGGCACCTGGATGCTTTATGGCTTCCGATAAGACAAATGAGCAACACCCTACATCTAGCCCATGGCACCCCAAGCCCGCCGAACAATACCCACGTCCCAACCGGGGCCACTGCCTGAACCACACCTCCATACAAAACCCCCCTGCAACCGGGTTGGTCTTTAACACGGCGTACTGTCCAGATGAGATTCACAAAACACGCTATTTTGCCCCTGCTACAGTGTCTGGTTCTAACCATCAACAATTCTACCGGGAATGTCTCCAGGCTCCAGGTAATCACCTGTCTCAGCGTCATGGCTAATTCTAAACGCAGTTCTTTGAGCCCTTGTAGGATTTCATGAACAGAAAAGAGTTGCTGAGAACAGGCCACCCATCCCCTTATATTAGGAAACACCCCACCCCAACACCAGTTCCAAATTGGGAAAGGAGTACATCAAGGCTGTATATTGTCATCTTCCTTATTTAACTTATATGCAGAATACAGCCAAAGTTATGACCAACCTAGACAGCATATTGGAAAGCAGAGACATTACTTGGTCAACAAAGGTCCATCTAGTCAAGGCTATGGTTTTTCCAGTGGTCATGTATGGATGTGAGAGTTGGACCATACAGAAAGCTGAGCACTGAAGAAGTAATGCTTTTGAACTGTGGTGTTGGAGAAGACTCCTGAGAGTCCCGTGGACGGCACGGAGATGCAAACAATCCATCCTAAAGGAGATCAGTCCTGAATATCCACTGGAAAGACTGATGCTGAAGCTGAAGCTCCAACACTTTCGCCACCTGATACGAAGAACTGACTACTTAGAAAAGACCCTGATGCTGGGAAAGACTGAAGGCAAGAGGAGAAGGGGACGACAGAGGATGAGATGGTTGGATGGCATCATCAACTCAATGGTCATAAGTTTGAGCAAGCTCTGGGAGATGGTGAAGGACCGGGAAGCCTGGAGTCCGTGGGGTCTCAAAGAGTCGGCCACAACCGAGCAACTGAACAACATCATCACGTGAAATGCCACGCTGGATGAAGCACAAGCTGGAATCAAGACTGCAGGGAGAAATAGCCACAAGCTGGAATCAAGATTGCGGGGAGAAATATCCACAACCTCAGGTAGGCAGATGATACCACCCTAACGGCAGAAAGATCATTCTTGAAAGGACAATATTACAGAGCCGGAGATGTCAGTGGCTGCCCGGAGCCACAGAGGGTGATCATGCCGCGGGGGCACGCAGGGGTTTTCCTGTGCGGATGGAACGGTTTCTGGGTCGGATTATGGAGGGGGTTGCTTAAAGCTCCACATATGATTATAGCTCACACACTGTCCACATGGACGCATGCACACACACCAAAACTGCTAAAAGGTAGACCAGGGTTGCATCTGTGCAAAACTTGCGGATGTCAGGTTCCTACTTTTGATAACATGGTATCTTCACCAAAAGATGGTACCACCAGGGAAGGCGGGGGAGGGTGCCCTAGGCCTCCATTTGCTATTTTCTTTGCTTCCCGGCTGGCGCTAGCCATAAAGAACCTGCTTGCCAATGCAGGAGATGTAAGAGACTGTGGTTTCAGTCCCTGGGTCAGGAAGATCCCCTGGAGGAGGACGTGGGCAATTCCCTCCAGTGAGAATCCCATGGACAGAGGAGTCTGGTGGGCTACAGTTCATGGCGTCACAAAGAGTTGGACACGACTGAAGTACCTGAGCACACACACACAAGCTATTTTTGCCACCTCTTGTGAGTCTGATGTCATTTCAAAACAGAAATTGTCAAAAGTTAGTGTCTTACTGATGAACAGATACACCAATTGTGGGCTATTCACCCAATGGAATGGGGTCTGGTAATCAAAACGAATGCAGTAACACGGGTGAATCTTGAAAATGGTATGCCAGCCACGAAGCGCACACACACTCCGTGATCTCATTTACTCAAAACATCCAGAATGAACAAATCCAGAGACGCTGACCATCGACGGGTGGTTGACTGGGTACTGGTGGAGGCCTGAGCAAGGAGTCAGTTCTCATGGGTCCATGGGATTCTTTGGGGAGTGAGGAAATGGTTTAGAATCAGTTGTGGCGATGGTTGTGGAACTCTGAATATTCTAAAAACCACCGAAGCGTACACTCTGAATGGGCGAGTTGTCAGCTATGTGAATAACAATGTGATTAAGTTGTTAACAAAATACAGCCATGTCTGGCACACAAGCTGTTACATAAGTATTTTGCCATGATTTACTGTTCTTTCTTCACCCCAGGGGAGCCGAGGGTGGTTGGTTCAAACGGTCACCTAGGATATTCTTTCAAATTACTCTGGGCATGTGACCCCAGGCGTGTCTAGGTAAACGGAGATAGCAGCTCTGATGCTAAGAGAGTCAGACCCATTTGGGCACTGTGCAGGCAGGTTTAACATCAGGGTCCTTGCCTCTGCCTAAGGGAAGCCTCGTGTGCTGCGGCCCATGGGATCGCAAAGGGCTGGACACGACTGAGCGACTAAACAACAATAACCCCCCATCACTCCCCTGCATTCCACCAGACTGGCTTATCAACTTTTCCCTTTAAAGGAAAAAAAAAAAATCTTTCTCATTGCTCCTTCCTCACCTTTGCCCACAGAGTCCCCCATCTAGAACATGTATCTTCACTATGCATTGAGATCCCAAGCGCCAAAGCCAGCCCACGTCTCCCCTTAAACATGAGGGTCCAGCCTTCCTCAGCGGCTGCAAGGTAGGTTAGTAGATCCTTCCTGGGAATTCCCACAGCAGGAGACGTCTGCACCGTCCATGGGACACCCATGCATGCCATGGCTTTCTAAGAGCTGTAATGCCTTCCCCCAAAACACGAGACACGTCTCAATCTCCGCACACTCCACAAATAGTTCTCCAGAAGTAAGAGATTCAAAGAACAGTCATCCCAGAAACAGAAGACTTTCATGCAAGGGGGTCTTGAAAAGGAAGTTCTTGATTTGGGTGAGACCCGCGCCTTGCTGTAAGCTGGGTGAAAAAAGCAGCCAAGATGATGGCTCCAGACCCCAAAGGTCCCCGTCCTAGGAACCCTGTCTCAGTCTCTGTGCCCTCATGAGAGTCCACGTGGGGCTCAGACGGAAGGAAAACACCTCCCCAGGTGCCCCCAGCACAGGCCACGTGGCCTCACGATGCTTCCCAGCAAGGTGTTTATGGAAAGTTCTGCCTGGACCACAAACTAGGCCGTGGATGTCTGTCATTTCCAAACATGTACAAGACAAGCATCAAAAAAAAAAACAAAACAAAACACTCTGTTTCTCATAAATCAGTCATCCGAGGGAAAATAAGTACTTGAAATATTCACAGGAATGTGAAACCATGAAAGAAATGATGTTTCTTGCAAAAGCACAGAATAACCATCTCCATCTCTCTTTCCTAAAATTTCTGACTTTCCAAACGTTCCGTGAAACAGGAGTTTGTTACGAACTGCCAACACAGATACACAGCATGTTTTGATTACCAAATCAACTATTCTAAAACATCTTGAGAAATTACTGTTTCTGGTATATACAGCCAATAAGTAACAATTAATTTTTTAAAAAACACGGACCAGTTGACAGGATACTTCATAACGGAATAAGAAATTAATCCACTTTCCAATTTTACTTACTCAGAGACAAATGTAGGCAAATCTCGTTTTCTTTCTGTGGTTTATTTTTAAGCCTGTTTTCTGTCTTCAGTTACCTGTCAACAAAAGAACATCCAAAATGAGGCCAAAAGAAAAAAAAGTCAACAAAACCCACTCCAGTATTCTTGCTTGGGAAACCCCACGGACAGAGGAGCCTGATGGGTTACAGCCCCTGGGGTCTCAAAAGAGTTGGACACGATTTAGCGACTAAACGACAAATTGCGCTTTATTACACCGAGTATTTATTAACATATTTTTTTTAACGCAGTAAATATTACAAAATAAAATCCGGAAAATAGATACTGGTGCATTCAATAAAAATGGCCAGATCTCCCTTGTGGCCGTTCAAAACAAAAAAGTTAACAAAAACATCTCGACTACATTCTCGACCGTTCAAAGACTTAGGCAGACTTCTGAAGCAGGAGGGGTCTTAGGAAGCTGAAACACTAACGGTGAAGAACCACCGTCGGTGAAATTCAGTCTTTCTTCTCTGTGCAAAGCATATAGTGAGCCTGTTCACACGAAATCTGTTCAAAACTCTCAAACTAGCAGTGATCACCTCACTAGATATTCCAATCACCCCAACACACGAGACACGCCTCACTCATCTCCGCACACTCCACAATACTCCAGAAGGATGAGATTCAAAGAAAGGTCACCTAGCCAGCTAGAGCATCTCGCCAGCTCTCACGGCTCTCTAAGCACCCGAAAACACACTAAATGAGAAACACAGGTTATTTCTCGCTCGATGCGATGCAACATGGCACATTCTCACGGAGAAGTCCACGTCCAGCCGTGTGGAAAGTGCAAACGCCGCTAGGCGATGCTCTTGTTGGCATGAGGGAACACTTGATGTCTGCGGTCGTGGGACACGTAAGTATCCGGACGGTGAGAAGAGGGGGGATCTCAGCGAGTACAGAGCGGTGACAACAAATGAGTAAGAAAACGCACAAGCCCACCTAAGAGAAGTGAGGACACTCGAACTGGGGAGCAGTGACCTTCAGACACGGAGCTGAGCTTACACTGGGGGCCGAGACGGGGCACCGTGAGGAGGGAACCCTTGAACGCTCGCGAAAAGCAGGCCACGAGCGCAAACGTCCGGTGGCGAGGGCGACCTGGGTGGCGGGGACACGGGGAGGAGGGGCCGGGTGACAGTGNGTATTCTTGCCTGGAAAATCCCATGGACGGAGGAGCCTGGTGGGCTACAGTCCATGGGGTTGCAAAGAGTCGGACATGACTGAGCAACTTCGCTTCAATTCGCTTCACTTCAACCATGACCCCTGGAGTTGTGGGCCTGGCTGGGATGCACCTGGGGTGGGATTTCTCATCCTCAGCAGTGCTGGCCTTGGGACCAGATCACTCTACGCGGTGGGCTTCCCAGGTGGCGCTCGTGGTAAAGCCACCTGCCAACGCACAGGATGTTAAGAGATGCAGGTTCGAACCCTGGGTCGGGAAGATGTCCTTGGTGGAGGGCATGGCAACCCACTCCAGCATTCTTGTCTGGAGAATGCCATGGACAGAGGAGCCTGGTGGGCTACAGTCCACGGGGTCGCCAAGAGTCGGACACAACTGGAGCAACTCAGCACACGTGCATGCATTCTCTGGGGTGGGGGGTAGGGGGCTGTGCTTCACGTGAGGACACTGAACAGTATTTGGGGCCCTACCCACTAGACACCAGAGGAATCCTGCCATCCACGCAGGCTGTGACAAGCAAACTGACCCAGAGTTCAGTGTCCCCTGGACAGCACGGTCACCCCGCTGAAATGATCTCAAGATTATCACACTAAGCCTTCCCAAGTGGCGCCCGTGGTAAAGAATCTGCCCGCAGGAGATGCAAGAGACCTGGGTTTGGTCCCTGGGTTGGGAAGATCCCCCTGGAGGAGGCCACCCAGGCCAGTGTTCCTGCCTGGAGCATCCCATGGACAGAGGAGCCTGGTGGGCTACAGTCCATGGGGTCACAGAGAGTCAGACACGACTGAAGTTAAGTGATACCATATGCCTTCACTTATACGTGGAGTCTAGAAAAGAAATGTAACACCCCTGGCAGTCCAGTGGTTGGTGGTTAGGACTCTGAGCTCTCACTGGCCAGGGCCCCAAAATCAACCCCTAGTCACGGGGGAAACTCAGATCTCACAAGCTATGCAGCA